TATAAGCGGTATAAGGACCTGCTGACATTTCGCAAATTCGTGAGATCCGCATGGCGCAGCTAAACGACAGCCAGCTTCCCAAGATGCTGCCTGGTTCAGAGACATATGTTGTGTTTTAGTTGACTAACCGCTGCACTCTCCGCACACAGATATGTTTCGCGAAAGCAAACGGCCACAACACGTTGATAGTGCATGGTTGATAGCTCGTTTTGTGTTAATTATGGTTGTTGTTATTGTTGCTGGTGGTGGTAGCGGTGGCGGTGGCGGTGGTGGTGGTGGCGGCGGTGGTGGTTGCTGCTCATAACATCTATTGAGTCTATTGTTGTTCCGATCGTCAATAGTGGGACGCTATTGTTGATGCCGGTTCTGGTGCTGGTGCTGGTGTTGGTGCTGCTGCTGCTGGCGGTGGAGGTGGCGCGGTGGCGGTGGTGTTGGTGGTGGTGGTGGTGGTTGTGGTTGTTGTGGTTGTCGTGGCTGATGTTGTTGTTGTAGTTGTGGTGGTGGTGCTGGTCGTCGTCGTCGTCGTCGTTGTGCTGCATTCGTTGCTGTCGCTGCTACGGTTTCACTTGTTTTTGTTGCACTACTGCTGTTCATTCATTCGCTAGCAGTTCTGTGGCATACGACCCCAACCTCGCGTTTTGGCCACCTCATCCCCAAGACATCCCAGGAGTTCCGACGCTTTGCACAGTCCACCCAGACTCCTGGCATTGTGAGTTCTATTGGCTTGTCAACAAAATTGTGATCCCCATGGTTTTTTTCGGACCTGTGCGAGAACAAGCCTGCAATGCAAGGGTTGTTCTATTTCCCCCCAAATCAGGATGCCTGACCTGCTTCGAGCTACAGACGGAATTCAGGTTCGTAATCACCTCTGGTAGCTGGATCCCACGAAGATACCAGCAAAACCAAACGATGCACGAGTTGAACGCGGAAATACCTGAGGCAGCGACGGTCTTGAGCGGGCAACTCTTTACGCAGAGTCTTGTCGCAACTCGGCCTACCTCGTCTTGCCAGATACTCATACATGAGGTTGTGATTCTGACAGCATCAGTTGCTGCCGCTGCTGCTGCTGCGACCACCACCACTACGAGGGAACTTGCCTGGGAAGCATGTACCGCACTCAGAGTATATATACACATACAACAGTATAGCCACACATCTATTTGTCTACATATCTATATCTCTCTACCGGAATGTCTTTCGATCTACCTACTATCGATCTACCTATCTATTTGCCTACATTTTTTCTGCCTGTATGTCTCCCTGTCTATCTCTCTAACTCTCGGCCTCCCCATCTATATCTATATCTACATATATATGTTGTTCAAAGTTCGAACCTAGCTTGCTATGCAACTTTTCCGAGAGATAAGTTGAAGATATTAAGCACGAGGCCTTCGGCATCTGAAGCGCATCAGAACACAACCCACTCGCCAACCCCCTTGGTCCAATGTTCAGGTCGCTTGGGGTTTCCCGTGGAGCCGGCCATTGCTGTATGGCTACGGCTGGGTGGATCATGCCTTCAGGTGCAGTGCAAGCTTTCTCCTTTGCAACCACCGGGGCTTCTGAATGCTAACCCCCCCGACAATCCGAAAAACTGCAGTCCTAAACCTAGAATATTCTGCGGGGCGTGCCTCAATCAGCAAAGGGTTTGCATGTTTTCTGGAGTGGACGAACGATGCTCGAGTCTGGAGCAAAAGATTTCCCGGAAAAGAGCACTTGGCGTCGTCGGGGGTCAGAGCAAGAATAGGAGTCACATATGTACAAGAGAGAGAGAGAGAGATATATATATATATGTATATACGTATATATATGTGTATATATATATACACTTATTTATACATGTACGTGTGTAGATATGTTTCTCGTTTTTGGTTCACAGCTGAGTTATGCATTATGAACCTGGAACCAGCTGCTTCCGCCTTCAGGGCCGTCTTTAAGGGTTCTAAATCTAAGGTAGAACCCATGGGCCCCTAGTATGGGCCCTTAACCCTGGGACCCTAATATACCTCCTATATACCCTATATATACCCTTAAGGGACCCTAGAATTCCCTAAAGGGCCCATGTTAGGGGCCCATGGGTTCAACCTTAGACTAAATATTCGATAAGCCCCCATAGCCTTACACCCGACTCACTACACTACACCCTACATAGGTCCGACCTCCTGATCCTAAGTCCTGAGCCCCTAAACTCCTATAAAACCCTACCTTAAGAACCCAAAACGTACTTTTTTGTAGGGTCCCTATAAATCCCATATTAGGGTTTATAATAAGAACCTACAAAAAAGAGGGTTTTGGGTTCTTAAGGTAAACTCCCTAAACCCTGAACCCCGGATCTGCATGTTTTTTTGCCTAGCCCGCGTTCGCACAGAACTCCATCATGGCCGAACGAACGACCGAACCCCAGACAAGCTTACAGGAACTCTTGCAGAGAACCCTAAACCGTAAACGCTAAGCCGAAATTTCGCAGGAAGGTTCGGAAGGGCGTAAAGAGCGGCTTTCCGAGGACTGCCGAGGACGCTGCAGAGCTAATGCTCGTTGTGGCCACCAGCTCGCAGGGTTCGGCGAACAGCCCGGTACCCCGGGGGGTTGGGGGAGGGGGAAGGGGGGGTGGGTGTGGGGGTAGAGTTTTGGGCTTGGTGGGGGTTTGAGTTTCTTTGTAGGGTTTTTGGGCGTTAGGTTTTGATTTCGTATTAGTTTTGAAAGAGTCGCGAGGTTAGCACCAGCAAGAAGCGGTTTTGTGGCGCTTTGGCTTAAGATGGCCTACGGTCAGGGCTCAATGGTTTAAGGGCGTACGGGTTTCAGGCTTTGGGTTTTATGCTTTAGAGGGTAGTAGGAGAGACTCGATTCTGTTTACGATGCGAAGAGTGTGGCTGAGACGACTTAGTGTTTGAGCATGGGAGCTTTGCGGTTTAGGGTTTACGGTTTAGGGTTTGGGGCTACTGCAGTAGGGAACGAAATATTTAGTTATCAGATATCTTCTTCTTAAAGTCCCTCAATTTACGTTAGTAAAATGTGCCCTGCAACCCTCTTCTAACATCTCCTAACTGTTAGGCCCGCTATATTCGGAGTTCAGACATCCGGCACCTTCTCGCATAAACAGTAGGGTCCCAGTCGTGTAGAGACTTCGTAGTGCGAGTGCTGAAGCCGTGCGTTCGACTGTTGTGTTGAGCGGCTTGTCAGCAGGGCCTGGGCAGGGCCAGGGGCTATATGCAGTAGCAGCTACGTTGTAGCTTGACTCAGTCTCCGAATTAAATTGTAATTCCTGGGTCTTCTAAGACAGAGAGTGAATGCTAACACTGTCAGGACCCGACAGATTGAAAGTCTTAGTAACTTAGGGAGCGGGAACCGAAGCTCCGGGATGAGAAGGTTCGGGCGGCCCTGGGGTTCTTAGAAACTCGACGCATTGCCAGTCAACCCTAAACCCTAGCCTCAAACCGTCAACGTCTACGCCCTGAACCGCCAAACCCTAGCACTCTAAATGAAGCTAGTAAACCTGAACCCTAGACCTTGTAAAACCGCATCGCAATTACTTACCATTGCGGCGCCCCTTCGCGGATCCCGAAACCTATACCTAAAATAGAAAAGGCCAGACGCCCGATGCCCTAAACTGTTAAGCCCTCACTGACGTTATCCTTAGAGTAGCTTCGCAGGATTATAGGGTGTTGTCTGCGGCTGGCAGTCATACTTGTTTCGCTCCAGACAAAGGGCCCTAGGACCAAGCATTGAATCTTTAAACGGCAGAAATAGACAGAACACCCGCAAACTCTAAACTCGAATAACTTTAACAAGCCTGATGGCCCTAAACACTCTTCGGCGACTTGTAGTTGTTCAGTATCGGCCCGTATTCACTATTACGGTTACTGTGGTTCTGCATGTCTTCTGTTCTTACTGTGATTGCTATCTGTATTAGAGTTCTTACAGATTAAAAATTTATCGAATATGTTTACTAGCGTTGTGAACCCTGTCCTCCGAGGCCTTGGTGCAAAGCGCCTTTTCGGCCGCGTGACCGAGGCGCAAATGGGGGCTTTAAATGTGCGCCGGGGTCGGGAGAGTTTGGGGTTCGGGTTTAGGTTGTTTGGGGTGGTAGGGTTTAGGGAGAGTATAGGATTCGCGGTTAAGATTTGCTTGGGATCCTTGGTAGCTGCAAAGGTAAGATCTATAGTGAGTTGTAAGGTTTGGGTTTGGGGCTTCGTGGGATGAGAGGCGCTGGATAGGCCTTTCTATGTGGTTGCAGGTGACAGGCTTGCTGGTGGTACAAACCCCAACTGTCGGGCAGGGGGTTGGGAGGTGGGAACAAGGGCACCATTATTGTTAGTCAGGGGGCTACTGAGAAACTTAGAGGAAGTGTTGATATAAAGCCCGAAACCCTGAAAGCCCAAGAGTTTCCAACTTGCCAGGCACTCGAGTGCCTCGGAGACCGAAGCACTGAAAGCCCACGGTTTAGGGCCTAGAATTTCTAGTTCATGGCACTTGGGTTCAAAATTTTGATGTATGCTTGGCAGCAGCTCACTCACTCACTCACAGGCTCTGA